GCTGCCGAGAACATTTGTATAAGTCTTCTTTATGGACATGTTTTCATTTCTCTTGGGTAGGTTCCTATAGAGGGAATTTTGGATCACATGGTGAGTTTATGCTTGTATGTAAGTTTTTAAAAAGTTGCTGAACTGTGGTCCAAAGTGGCATCAGTTTTCAGCAATATGTGAGATTTCTAGTTTTTCCATGTCCTTACCAACACTTGGTATTGTCCGTCTTTTCGATTGTGGCCATTCTAGTGGTATCTCAATGTACTTTTAATTATATTTTCCTAATGACTTAGGATGTTTATAATCTTTTCATGCAACACGGTTGTATTTTAGAAACATGGGTACAGGGAAAGAAGAAAGAATGGAGGTGGGCTACATGAAAGATGAGAACCAGCACTAGATGTGTGTAGAGATGAGGGAGACAGATTTTTAGGATATTTCAGAGTTAGAGTGGGAGCATTTAGTAGCTGCCGAAATACAATAAGTGAAGTGGAGGGAGCTGGCACTAGTGACCCCAAAATTTCCAACTTAGACAGTTGCGTAGATGGTGCTGCCATTAGCCAGAGAAGTGAATACGGGTGTATCAACAATCTTTGTGCTGGTAGATGATGGCTCTTACATTAATATTGTCCTTTTGATGTGCCACTGGAATAAATATGTAGTTTGGAAATATATATCTAGTTCAAAGGAAGGATGTATATTGAGATATAAATTTAGGAGAGTTATCATTATATAGATAAGTTCAATTCATGGAAATAAATGGTGTATATGTTCCAAAATCACTGTATCCACTGGGTTACTTTTGGTAATTGAAAACTGCTTAACCAGTAAAAGGATTTAATATAATGTAATAAAAAGATCCAGGTTAATAAAATGGTTCTAGGATTAATTCATTCGAGCATAACAAGATCACCAAGGACCTAGGTTCTTTCCATTTTTTAATGCTTTGCTTCTTTATCTGTAGGGTTGTCCTCTTAGGCTAGCTCCCTTCTTCATGGTCCTTAGATGGCTGTCATAGTTCTGCTTGACAAGTTCAAACCCAGAGTTGCCTGAAGAAAAAAAAAGCGTGTTTTTTACCTGAGTGTGTTTTTTTCATCAGTCAGGAAAACCTTTCCCAGAAGCTCCCCAGCAAACTTCGTCTCTTGTCTTACTGGCCAGAATTGCATCACATGCTTCTTGCTAAACCACTCATTGGTGAGGGGAATGGAAATTGCCGCAGTTGGCTTAGACCAAAGCTTTCTAACCTCAGTGTGAAGCATCTTTTTCTCACGTCTGTTTTGGAAGAAGCTTTCCCCCCCTGCCTTTTGGTTCTCTGCTGGAGTTCAAATAGCTAAGGTTTTCTGGACAACTCAGTTTCATATCAGTGAGTTGTTGCTATTCAGTAATTCAGACCAGCTTATATTTGTTGGAATGCTACTCTCTCGTCAACTTTGCTAGATTCTAGGATACAGCAATGAGTAAAGAAACATACAGTTTGGTATGGAAATATGCTTAAGCAGAAGAGTGCTGTGACAGAATTGTACACTAGAGCTCATTTGTGTTATGCGTTTAATACCACCGTTTATATCTTTGGTTTTATGAGAAAAGGCATCTGAGTTTCAAAGTGAAGCTTATTTTCATTTTATAAATGAGCATTTGAAACATTTAGAACACAGCCTGTTCCTAAGTTGACCCTCCCTTTCTGTCTTATGTGGTTACATGCTTTATTATAGAAGTACGTGATAGACCAACCTAAATTATGCTGTTCATTTGAGTTACTTACAGCTGAAACTGTATTATGTTTTTCTGAAGCATAATGTTTGAATTTTCCGTTTGATGTACCGAAGGTTTTAACGTAATACCTTTAAGAGCCCAACTGAAATGTTTTGTAAAAGGTTATTTTGTAATTTGGTTTTGGTTTTTTTAATTGGTTATATGAATGCAGCTACAGTGTTTACGGCAGTGTTTGTCCAGTACCTGAGGTGCTTTTTGTGGGTGCTAAGAGAGGAGGGATGAAGATGAGGAAGAGGGGATTAAGAGCGATGGAAAGAAAAAATGTACAGTCAGTATTGCTGAGTTTGTGAATACCAAGAAATCCCTACTTTTTGAGATCTGGTATAGACTCAAAGGTAATCTTAAATTTTGTCTTAGACTCATTATGTTTATCAAAGGCATATTAATGCTGTTCTTTTCTACAAAGCAAGTCTTACTGATAGAGGAGTTAATGGGTGACATTCTGATACCTCAGAGTTAAAGATAACTATAATATCTACAATTGATGTTTGTCACTGATGGGTTCTGTATGGTTAGTGATCTTTAAAGGACCCCGGTGGTTTAAGATTTAACCACTTTATAATTTTGAAAACCCAGAGGGATGTGTACATTTTGATGGCAGAAAAAATATTTTGTAAAGGCAATGTGGGGTTAAAATGAACTTTTCACACTTGTTTGCAAATACTAACTTTGAGGAAATTCTCATGTTAACTTTGAATTGCAAAATATTAGAATATATCTGGAAAGGTTTGATTTTTATTTATTTTGAGTCCTTAAGAAGTTCTGATGTGTTTTAAAAGAATTACCTTTTCCTTAATGTTTTTTCTGGAACTAACAGGCTTGCTAATTTCAGGTACAAAAATCTTTGGTGAAAATATTATTCCTTCTACTTGTTTAGTGGTTGGTTTTGACTGGATCCCTCGTAGTTGTTAAACGCAAGTTCATAATGCTGAAAGCCTGTGGTAAAGTGCCTTGTAAGTTAAGTGATTAAAGTTATTGGAGGAGGCCGGCCCTGTGGCCCAGTGGTTAAGTTCGTGTGCTCTGCGTCGGGCGGCCCAGGGTTTCACTGGTTCGGATCCTGGGTGTGGACATGGCATGGTTCATCAGGCCATGTTGAGGCGGCATCCCACATGCTGCAACTAGAAGGACCCACAACTGAAAAAATATACAGCTATATACTGGGGAGATTTGGGGAGGAAAAAAAGATTGGTAACAGTTGTTAGCTCAGGTGCCAATCTTTAAAAAAAGAAAGTTATTGGAAACATTTTGCCTGTGTAAATCCTATTTCTGTACGTGTACATATTTCTAGATCTCTGCTTCTAGGACTGTGGCACTGTATGGCAAGGGTTAGGAAAAGCTTCATTTTATTCACACAATTTCTAATGTGTAAAAACTGATTAGCAGACCTGTTCTTAAGGCATACCCTGTCCTTTGATTGTCTTTTATTTACGTCTTAGTAATGAGGTCAAATTTTACTTGGTTTTCCTTAGCCCGTCTTAAATTCAATCTTGAGAAAAGATCTTCTGAAGTTTATGTTTTGTCATGTGTTTGTGTATGTGAGAGAATGGAGGGGAGGATAGATGATTCAGGATCTTGGACTTTGAAGATTCTTGAAGATATTTGAAGATTCCTTTGATTGTGTATTTTCCTTTTTTATGAACTTTAGATTTAGCCTAAAGCTTGAAACTTCTTTTTCACATCAAAGAAACAGTGTTGTAATAAATAGTGCTGTAATAAGCAATGGCTAGTAAGTGGTTTACGTGTTAATTTTATTTATTATCTGATCCATTGGAAATCTCTGATAGAATTAGAATCAGGCCATATATTTTTAAACATAGTCACTTTGATTGACTGTTTTAACCTTCATGAGAATGGGTTAATCTGAGCTTTGTTTAATATAGTGATTGCTTCCCCTCTCTTCTTCCACACACATCCTTAGAAAGAATGGAGTTGTTGGCAAAGAATGGCTTTGAAGGAAAGTTTCTATGCAGTTTTTAAAATGGAAACACAGTGCATTTATTTTTTCATTTAGGAAATAAGAGAAATTGTTTAGCACGGTGAACGTCTCAGGAAAAAAACCTTACATACCAAGTGTCCATTTGGGCCCTCCCTCGTTTCTCTGAGTGATAGTCTGAGAGTTTTATAGTCATATGAGTACCCTGAAAAAGGTAAGGGACCTGGTTAAGTTGTAGGTAACTAGTGCCTTGAGAAGACTGTTAGGGACTCCTCAGTGCGCACAAAGCCTTGCTCATTGCTTTCAGGGCCAGACTGTCTTTAGTTGGACCATGAAAGATTTAGCATCGTCCTCTGGCAGCCTGTCTGCTGAGTGGAGACTCTTGTCTTTAAGAAAGGCTGCTATCTGATATGCTAGACCGTTTCAGGTTGCCCCAGTTTACATGAATTTAGTCGTTATTGCCAAGACGACTAAACCTCAGTGTGATACAAATGATACTTCTAAATGGACTTGAAGACAAAGGCATTTTGACCTTGCAGTGGGCATCGGTAATGTTCTTACAGCTTAAAAATTTTCCCTTTTAATCTGAAACAGAATATTTTGCTGTTGAACTTTCAGTTAAAAGATACATTCAATGAAATTGTTTTTAAGATCTCTAAGTAAATAGCACACCTGTCTTTAAATAAATAAAAAATTTTACTGATTTCCATCTTTTAGGTTGACGAACATTGTCTCTTAAGGCAGGAGGGTGCTAAGGCAGTGGTAACATAGTGGAAGCCCATCCCGTGGACTTAGACCAAGCAGTTAGTTCTTGACCCTCACAGTTCCTGGTATTCTAGGCAGAAGTTCAGCTGAATTTAAATCTGCTTGCTGAGACTTTGTGATAAACAGTGGAAATAGGGATACCAGCTGGGTGGTCGAATCTCGTTACCTAAGTAGGAATCTTAATATTATAGAATTGTGTATTTTAGTGCTGCTTCTTGCTGTTCCTGTTTTTTCAATTTAAGATGTGATTTTTTTTAGAAAGTCTAAGCTAATACAGAAATTTTACATAAGTAATTTTTTCATCAGAACTCCTGTTACCTTTGTAAAGTTGAAAATACTCAAAATGGGAAACTTCTTTGGGCAGAGGTTGGGAAAATGGTAAAATGATAGGTTTCTAACGTACTGTAGAACTTTTCCTTGACTTTACTTTGCAAATGTATAGTTTTACACATTAAATTTTTAGTATTACTTCTACATTTGTTATTTTGACAAATGAAAGTTCTTTCAGTCATAAATAAATTCTTTTTTTCCTGAACAGATTTATGAAAATATGCATCAGTTTAATACTGTGTTGGAATTCATGAGATGGAAGCATAGATCAAAGCTGTTTGGAGAAAATTGGAAGTACAGTTTTATCTAGCCACATCTCTGAGGTAAGGAAAAGTCTTTTAAGAAAGTAATTAGAACAATATGAAAACTGATTTTTTAACAATTGAAAATAGCCCTGTGTCACTGCTGTGACTTTATTTTAGTTTCTTTAGTTTCTTTAATCACTTTCCTTATGAGTTCGTAAGTAGTTCTAATATGTTTTCCTCTCCTTATAAATGTTGAACCTCTTCAAGAGTGAAAAGTATTTATTTATTACTAATCTTCCTTGCTTAGCTCTCAAAGAATAGTCTGTTTAGAGATGAGTATGCAAACAGTTAATTTAAGTGCAGTTTGAAAAGTGCTGTGGGGCCGGCCCCATGCCTGAGTGGTTAAGTTCACACGCTCTGCTTTGGCGGCCCAGGGTTTTGCTGGTTCAAATCCTGGACACAGACATGGCACCACTCATCAGGCCATGCTGAGGCAGTGTCCCACATGCCACAACTAGAAGGACCCACAGCTAAAAATACACAACTATGTACCGGGGGGGCTTTGGGGAGAAAAAGGAAAAAAAAATCTTAAAAAAAAAGAAAAGTGCTGTATTGAAAAGGTGTATTGGCATCACCTGGAAAGACTCCAGCAGCATGGTCAGAGGAGAGACTTGTCAGGGAGGCTGCACATAGGAAATGACATCTGAGTGGAGTCTTGAAGGATGAGTAGATTGTTGACTGGAATTTGAGAGGCAAGTGAATTTCATGCACAGAGCCCAGCTTAAGCAGGGGAAGCTTGCAATGTGTAGAGTATACAAAAGAAGGAATCGTTTTGTGTGGTTTGAATTCAGCATGTGGGCGACGGTTTGAGGGATGAGGCTGGAGGAGGTCTTGCTTGTGAAGGTCTCTGAAAGCCGTGTTAAGGAGTTTAGACTTTATTTTGTGAGTGGTTGGCAGTCACTGAAAAATTTTAACAGGTGTTTTGGATCAAAATTGTGTTTTGTTTAAATTAATCTAGCGGTGATATGAGTGATAGTTTGGAAGGGGGAGATATGAAAAGCAGAGAGATGATTAGGATACTCTTGATGAAGGTAGAAATCAACTTACGTGAAATTATGAAAACCTTTAAGCGCTGGTTATTTGGCAAATATTTAATTTTCTTCTCCTGTACCCCTAAGTGTATGATACTTTTCAACCACCGATTTGAAATTGTCCTCTATTTTCTCTCCCCTCTAGTCATGCTGTTCTTTTCTCCTGGCATTCTTTTTCCTTTTTTCTTGCTTGTAAAAGGCCTATCAGCTTGTGAAAGCACATCTCAAGTACCACTTCATCCCTGAGATCCTTTCTGATCTATATTCTGTGACTCTAAGAATATGTTCCTTCTTAGTTTGGGCCCCAGAGCACTTATTTTTGTTCTGTGGGATATTACTTTTTTTGGTCCCTGTTAAACTATAACAGACAAGTCATAAAGGAGGAATCAGAAAATGAAGAACATGGTCGCCATCCTCTATTTGAAGCCGTATCAGCACGTTACGTATATGAGTAATCCGAGGAATGATAACCAGCGTTGCCAGGGGAAAGTGATGAAAGCCAAAGGAGTGAGCACGTTATTACTTCATCAGGGTCTGCAGCTCTGAGAGCAGGATGGAACGTGGGAGCAGTTAGTCAAGCTGGGCTTTGAAAGATGGGAATAATTTGAATAGGTAAAGAAAGAATTCAAAGATATTTCTGGAAAAGCCAATTGATGGAAAATGAATATTTCTGTAGGAGTGTGGTAGAGGTCTTGGAGAAAGTAGGGAGTGTGGCCTAAAGAAAATTATATTTTAGGGAGCTCACTCTAGCAGTAGTGTGTGAGCATCCATCATTAGAGAAATGGAGTGAGGTGTCAGGGAGCTCAGAAGGTTGGAGGAGAGCTTGGGCATGAGGTGATGACAGTTTACTCAGAGTGGAAACGGTGGAAATAGAAAAGAAAGACTCATTGGAAAGGCGTTGTGAAGGAAGAGGGAGTACTGATTTGTGACTGGATGTCGGAAAGCGCTGATTATGCCTGCATTCTTTGTCTGCGTGGTAGGGATGATGTTGGGCATCCTTAGTAGCAAGCATAAGTAATTCTTCAAATTCAGGTGGAGCCGCGTTTTCTGAGTTTAAAGAAACATTAAAATTGAGGTTCTTCTGTATTGTTGGTCTCTTCCTTTATTTACATACAGTAAATATTTTTGTACATTATTTTCAATCCTCAGCATATCGAAAAGGAGATATTATGAAAAAAGCAAAATATTGCCTCTTTTAGAAGAGCAATTTTTAAAGAAAGAAATACTATCCTGTTCATTTTTATCCCTTTTGCTATAATTTTAAATGCTGTATAAGATTTAGTAAAATTTAAGAATGTTTGAAGTATTTCTACAGGTATAATTCTGACACTCTTACTGAAGATTGATCTTGTTGTAATAGAATTCCTGCTACACGATAGGGGGCTGTGAAGAAGTTCATTAAGCAGAATTTGATAGTTCCACATTAACAAACAAGCGTTGGTATGGTAATGTCCTCAGAGAACTACCGTATGGTGATGTGGTAAGTTACCTCAGAATAAAACTAGCTAGTTTCGATGCTTTTATTAAAGTTCTTTTCAACTCTTAATTGATGAGTCATTTAGGACTTTGCAGTATTTAGAAATATTCCAACACTGTGTATTGAAAATAAAGTAGTCACTATTTGTTTTGTAATTATTCATTGTGCAAAACTGGAAAACATTACGTTATTGAGGAAAAAAGCATTTACATTAAGAAAAATCTTTGTTATTGAACTATTATCAAGTTGTTTCCTCTCTTTAACATAAATCTAAAGTTCTTGAATTAATATTTGTATTAGTGGTCGACCCCGTGACCGAGTGGTTGGGTTTGCGCTCTCTGCTTCACCGTCAGGGTTTCGCTGGTTTGGATCCTGGGCACGGACATGGTGCCGCTCGTTGGGCCATACTGAGGTGGCGTCCCACATGCCACAGCTAGAACGACCCACAACTAAAAATATACAACTATGTACAGGGGGGCTTTGGGGAGAAAAAGGAAAAAAAATTTCTATCACATATTATATATATATATATATGTATATTTTATGATTCCCTCTATCATTTTTAACTCAGAATAGTCACAACACTGTTTCCCAAAGCGTGGAGTGTGTACTACAAGTAGTATTCAGAATGATTTCAGGTGGTACACAGGTGAAGTTTTAAAAATTTCATAGTTATGTGTTTATTTGACATAACCTCCTATTCATGACAAGTAATACTGACTTTTAGTGACAATGTGTTTCCCTTTATTTTCTCTGTTTTGGACTGTGGTTCAGAAACTTGAGTTAATTATACCTTCAGTTCATGACAGTAAGATTACTGTCTATGTTCTTTGTAAGGCCCCTCAATTGATTTATTTTTTCTCCTTTGTTGATGTCCACTCCGTTTTCCTTTCCTCCTGCTGGAGGAGAGCACTCTAATTTGTTTGGTGTGTGTCTTTAAATGGATGTATCCTTATAAAACAGACAGTGATGTTGGTGCGTGTGTGTGTGTTCGTTGACTTAATTAGGTTTTGCTACAGATATTCTGCCCTTTTTTTCCACTGTTTTCTTCAACACTAGAGAGTTAAGATCTCCCCACGTGGCTGTGTCTACACTTGTTCACTGCTTCTAACTTTGGTTTCGCATCCCGTCGGGTACTCTACCACGGTCTGCTGTTTTAAAGAGGCAGCACACTCGTGTTAAAAGCCTAGACAGTGGAGCCAGCTTGCTTCAGTTTGAGTCCTGACTGCACCACCTCTTACTAGGGTTCCTTTGAAAGCAGAGCCTGAGCAAAGGACTTAGGGCTGGGTAGTTTATTTGGAAGGTGATCCAAAGAAGCCGAAATGAGAGGATGGGAAAATGAGACAAAAAAGAGAGTACAGGTGCAGAAAGTGTGTTAGTGAGCTGGTTATCACTCCGGGCAGCTGGAGTTCAGTCCCCTGGGAACTCTGAGTGTACCTCAGTGTTGTTCCGCCAGAGGACAGGGAGCTTGGGCTATTTAGCCGCTGACTTCTGCCTTTTTGTTAATTGGGGGTTGCTCTTGGGGCTTTAACTCTAGCGTTTGTGTGGTTGTGCCTACATACATTGAGCATCTTCTTTAGGTTTGGAGAAAAGCCCGAAGAGCAGAACAGAGCAGTGCTTTGGCTCACACTTGATGGCGGATGCTGTGGGCCACGGCGTGCAACAGTCCACCCTAGGTACAAGGAGGAAAGGTAGGCTGAGGGAGGTGTTGCGGAGCACCACAAGGGTCTGCTGTAGTCCACCCCTGTTATGACTCAGATCACCTCCTGTTCCATTAAGTCCACTCTGTCACTGGCCCTTCAGAGTGGTAGCTGGTTGTCATCACTAAAAGAAATGTCTAAAACAGGAGGGTTAGTGGAGCAAGCTGTACTCCCCACTACTGCAGCTGGTCCTAAGGCCGCAACTGCTGTTCCCCATGAGATGATCTGTAAACCTTGGCAGAGTGGTGCTGGCAGTGGGGTATACTGTGGCAGGGAGGCAAGCCCACATCTGGCATCAGGTACGCACCTGCGCGTGTCCACTGGCATTCTATAGCAGCAGCGGTTAGGTCATCTTCTCTTCGGAAGGAGCCCATGCTGCTGGGCCTGTGTAAGGCCTTCCTCTCTGACATTGTGGCTCCTCCATTCACGGCCCTGTTGGTGAAGCATTGGTCAAGCATTGGTCAAGCATTGAGGTGGCCGAGGTGGCCGATTGACATCCGCTAACAACTCATTCCATCTGTAGTTGGTGCTTTGTAGTGGGCGTTACTATAAGACATAAAGATTGACACTTTGTGCTGACTCCCGTAGAACCCTGAACATGCCTCTTCTTCAGATTCCTTGTCTCTTCCCTTCCAATTTTGCTCCTTCCGTCCCTCTAACCAATCGGCTCTACCATTCACCACTCCCAGGGAGTCCATGTTTTTTCTTCTCTGGTCACTTCTCTTTTCCCCACACCACTGAGAGAATTTCCGCCCATCATTGTCTTTCAGAGCCATCCAAAGTAGGGCTGTAGAGCAGTAGCAGTCCATT